TCAGGATAACCTGAGCCACTCTAACTAGAAGCTTTATCAAAAAGGGAAGTTTAAAGCTTACTGTGAGCTGAAAGACTGACTGCAAAAATGTCAAAGAAAAACATCCGGATGACTAAGATCTGCCACCTGACTTCTTCTGGAGGAGTCATGTCAAAGATATTAAAATTATTCTGCTTTTAGGGGAAAAGTTGACTGATTGAGTCTTCGGTTGAAGGTGGTTTATATTAACAATCTCAACATCTCTAATGTTATTGCTTTTATTGCCGATATGTTCAATGAAAATAAACATAGATCTTCCGTATTCTGCAGGATCTACGTGTTTTCTAAAAACTTAAGGTCATCTGAAAGGTTCTGTTACAGGGTGGGGGGTTGAAGTCAACCCACCAATGTTTGGCCCTAACTGTGTTCCGTAGTCCCAGCTGCATGATCAGAAACTGCTGTTCCAAACAACAGATCATTTTATTCATTTGTTGAGAACAAACTTCTCACTCACCTGTAGTTTGCTGTTTCGTTTCCTGTTGCTTTAATTGAATAAATCTCAAAGAATCCAAAAACTGCTCCTCCTTCCACTTCCTGAATCAACAAACTTTAATGGTTTCTGGGGAAAAACAGACACTAGAACCAAGCTAATGTTTGGGTTTAGCTATTTATGTCAAACAGGAGCTAACAATATAAAAGTTAAACATTTAGATAGAATCTGTAAGAACCTCTGAAATTCGGCGATGAAATAAAAGATCTGATCTGAGGTCTTCTCCATCTTTGCTTCCTCCAGCGGGTTTGACCAGTTCTGACGTGCAGGACTGGAAAAAAACCCAAAGGTTTGAAGCCATGTTAAAACCAACCGGAATGCCGTTAAAATGCAGCCATGTTTGCCCAGATCCAGCTTTACTGGTGGTTTGGTCTCATAATGGGAACCAGTGAGGCGACCCAGACCTCTGTGATGTCAGCTGGACTCCCACAGCTCTGGGCGTTGTTGTGTGGAATGCTCCCACTCTCTCCCACTTCAGTTTAAGCCCGTGTGCTTCAGCTTCAGCTTTCATCTGGGTAAGGAAGGCAATCCCCTAAATTGTTCACAATGATCCAGGTGTAATCGACCTGCTTGCTTTCAATCACTGCAAGCATGTTTCAGCCTGATATAAACCGGGTCTTTCCCACTAATGTCCCACTCTTCATAGCAGCTGTTGCACACAGACTTACCTTAAAAACAGTAATTACTCTGATTAAAATCTTTACAGCCTTAAAGGAGACGTGGAGAGAACAGTTCTGCTTGTTTTGTCTGGTTTAAGAGCTTTCCTTCTTAAAGTGGGGCTTTACGATTATAAAACATGCAGACAATTACAGAGTTAAACCATCTTTGGTGTTATGTTAAAGCATTATTAGCAGACTGAAGAACAGGCAGGGCGGATCTAGGGGGGGGCTGCTTGGGCTACAGCTGCAGATGTTTCCCCCAGAGCCCCGGATCTCCCTTCTGAGCTGATTAGAGTAAAATGTGCAGTACTGGAATTCACCAGATGGTGGCAGCAGAGCAGGAAAGCAGCCTGCAGCATTCCCCTGCAGAAGAAGAAGTGATCCCGGGGTGTCGGGAGCCAGAGAGGCGGATCTGGTGGATCTGACCGTTTTCAAATATATATTAAATAATCGTGTCAAAGTTTTAACATTCAGTTTAATTTGGCAGCTGTTTTTACACAATTGTAAAAAAATAAATAAATAAATAGATGAGGTCATTTTTAAGTTGTTTTATGTTTTTAAACACCGAGAGAATCCGTCTTTTTCTAACTTTTGTCCCTTCAGCCTGACAGAAATAAAGTCAGTCACCAGTTTTCCAACATTTAGTGAATATTTATCATTTTTTGTTGCTGATATCAGAGGATGGAAACCGGCTGATAGCAGGACACAAAAAACATTCCTGCAAAGATGAGAGACTTTCTGCTAAATCCTGTTCTAATGTGAAATATGACAGATTACTGGATTATGGACATTTTTTAGTATACGACATGATATCACACTTTTCATTTTTCAGAATTTGGAAACGGTTGACTTTTATTTCTGTCAGGCTGAAGTGACAGAAGTTGGAAAAAGACCGATTCTCCTGGTGATTAAAATCATCTTCACAGTCTTCACCCTCAGGGCAAAGCCCCAGATCTAGAATCCTAGATCCACCCCTGAGGGTAAAAGTGTGAGTCTTTAAGGGAATTTCCCCTGCAGGAAATCATGCCCGGTGTCACCCCCCCCCACTGACTCTCATTGAGCGCCAAACGCCGAGGCGATACTCTGGGATTCATGTTTTCTGGCCTTCAGACTGATGGAGAAAGATTTTATTATAAAGCTGCTGATTGGCTGGTTGCTGCTGCTGTAGTCATAGTTACAACTTTATCATAAAAAAAAAAACATTTTTAAAAAGGAATAAATCCACAGAATGTCCAGAGCGGTGCAGAATTAAACTATTGATTTATTTCTGGTTAATGATGCTAGTCTGGGATTTTGCATCGACAGAAATAGTACACTGGAAAAAATGGGAAGAAAATCATTTTTTCTTAAAATAACTGCATTTATTCTTGAATTGCCAATGGAACAAGAATATTTACATTTAAAATAAAAAGCAATTGCATTGTCTAATTTCAAGTGCATGTTATCTAATGATCTTATTTTAAGTAAAAATACTCATTCCACTCAAATTAAGGGTAAATACACTTAATTTAAGAATTATTTTACTTATTTCTAGATGGTTTTTCCAGTGTACTAGTATCTCCATGATGAGGAACGGTTTTTTTCCAGTGTTGCATTTCTCTGATTCAAGAAGCAAAACGAGGGAAAATGGAGAAGCGAGCAGGAAATGGAACCAGGGATCGTGGAATAAAAGAAACCTGCAGGGAGCAAAGAAAACCGGGAACTTAGCAGCTGAGGGAGATAATGGACCAACGAGGACAGGAGAGTTTATAACACTGAGACTGAATATTAACAATAATGAGACTCCAGTTAAAATAACCGTGTTCTAGATTTAAAGAGTCATTTTCAAATAAAACAAAACCTTGTTTCAAATTTTGATTAGATTAACAGTTTTATTTCAAGTATTAAAACCTTTTAAATATGTTTTTAAACTAATGTTTTTTTATGATGTAAGTTTTAAGTTATATTGAAATAGACACTTAATGCATTCAGGACTCATTATCTTTTCACTGCACTGCAAAAAAATCAAATAAGTCATTTTTTCTTAAAATAAGTGTTTTTCTTCTTGAATTGAAATAAATGAGACACTTTGCCAATGGAACAAAAAAGCATTATCAATAAAATGTTTATTTAAAGTGCCTATTATCTATTTATTTTATATTAATAGTAAAAAATATTTATTTCTGTTTGTTTTTTTCAGTGTGTGAGCCAGAAACCAGCTTGTAGGGAAAATTAAACTCGAAAAAATTGAAATCTAAATAAGTAATTTTTTCTTGAACTTAGGAGGTAAGTGACACAGTGAAACAATTTACATTTAAAATAAGAAAAAAAAATTCAAGAGCATATTATCCAATTATCTTATTTTAAGAGTTAAAATCCTCATTCCATTAGCAAATCATCTTATTAACCTGCTCAAATTAAGGGTAAATAGACTTAATTCAGGACATTTTGACTTATTTATAGGTGTTTTTTTCAGTGCGGACTATGTGGCAGATATGAAGGAGGAAGATTAACCGTGTCTTTAATGCTCCACTTGGTGGGGAACCATCTAAGCTGACCTGAGACTCTGTTGGACCTAAATCTAGCGTCTGTCCTCACAGGAAGCCGTCCTACGGTCCAGTATGTGTCCTCCTTGTCCGAGCTGCCTCAGGCGCTGCAGTCCTACTACACTCAGGGCTACGTCCTGGCCGCCCTGCACCCCATCATCCTGTCCCTGGGCCGGAGCCGCTCGCTGCCCTTCAGCCTGCTGTACCGCGCCGTCCTGGCCCGGCCCAGACCCAGGTAGGACAGACCCGGTCCCTGGACCCGGGCCCCTTAATGAGCCTCCAGTCAGAGGAGACAACTTTAATGAGGTCAGCTGCATATTAGATAGGAAGCTTCAGATGGAGGTCAGACTTGGGGGGGGGGGGGTGACTTGGGTTTTCCACTCAACGACAGGCGTCTTTGAGCAGCCAATCAGGAGGAGGCGTCAACATTTGCTGCTGTGCTGTGAAGGAAGCAGCAGAAACACAGCAAAGGTCCAGAGGAGTCTGAACTGAGAGTCACATGAAAACACCTGCTGGATGGGGGGGGGCATTCATCTGCACCAAAACAACGACCTAGAAATACGTAAA